CAGTTATGAAAGGGATCTTGGGGTACTGGTCGACTGTAGGCTAAACCTGACTCAGCAGTGTGACGCAGCAGTCGAGGGCGAATGCCACCCTTGGTTGCATACCCAGAAGTGTGGCTTCTAGATTGAGAATGGTATTACTGCCACTCTATATGACTATGGTGCACCTGCAACTGGAGTATTGTGTTCAGTTCTGGGATCCACGTTACAGGAAGGATATAGCTAGGTTGGAATGGGTGCAGCGAAGGGCCACAAGGACGGTGGCCAGATTGCGGGGACAGCTGTATGAGGCAAGACTGAGGGAACTGGTGGAGAAGAGGAAACTCTGAGGGGATCTGTTGGCAACATATAGGTACATGAGGGGTGGGTAGAGACCTGTTTTCCCCTGTAGAAGAGGGCAGGACATGTTCCAATGGAGCAAAGCTCAGGTTCAATTTGGATGCCAGGAAGTTCTTCCTGGCAGTTAGAACCTCTAGAATATGGAATGGGCTTTCACAGGAGGTGGTTGAAGTCCCATCAGTGTTCAAGGATAGGCTGGACATGCATGTGGTAGGCATGTAATGAGCAGACCTGGCTAGAGCCAGGGGTCTGACTAGATGGCCCAGGAGGCCCCTTCTGCCTGCTCTGCTTCTATGTTTCATATTTAGTTTGTGAGCTACAACAACTCGAATATCCTTCTCATTTGCAGTATTGTTGAGCCAAGTATTCCCATCCTGTAGCAGTGCATTTATTTCTTGTTCCTAAGTGGAAGACATGGCATTTGTTCCTACTGAATTTCATTCTGTTTTCTGTCCAGCATTCTAACCTATCAAGATCACCCTGTATCTTATCTCTGTCTTCCAGAGTATTTGCTATTCCACCCTGCTTTGTTCCATCTGCAAATCTAATTATCTTTTCTTGTACTTCCTCATCTAAGTCATTAATAAAAGGGCTGAAGAATACCAATCCCAGGACAGAACCCTGCAGCACTCCACTTGTGATGCCACCCCAATTTGAGAATGTGCCATTGATGAGCACTCTTTGAGTCCAATTTTTGCAGCCAATTGTGGATCCACCTAATTTGGTAATCAGGATGTCATGGTGCATTTTGTCAAAGGCTTTGCTAAAATCCAGATAGAATATGTCCACAGCATTCCCACAGTTCACTTGGGAGGTTACCCAGTCAAAAAATGAAATTAGATTAGTCTGGCTCTCATAACTTTAACGATGAGTCTCATAAGAGCCTTTGAAGCATAGGCTAGTAGTAGTAATGGATCCACTAGTAGAGGATTTCCTGTGGTGGGAGATGGCCTATATGGCTTTTGTGGTCTCTTCCAACTCTATAATTTTATGATAATCAAAGTCTGTTATGACTAAGACTAAGGCACATATAGTTTAGAAATAAGTGCATACTATTCTCCTTTTTACTCTTGCCTCTGTTTCCTCATTTTCCTTGGCAATCTCCCTTGACAATACCTAGATAGTAAACCCTTCTAGGCTATCATCTCCTTCTTTGCAAAGTGCTGCATAGCTGGATAATGCAAGATAACAGATAACTGAAGCCACAGCAATGTGACATACCAACTGATAATTCTTGCATTTCTTGACCTTTTATGTTTACACCTTTTAAAAGAAGTTTTTCTTTCTAAATGACCCCTTCCTAATTGGATTAAAAGATCTTTGATTCAGGGAAACTTGTGATACCTTAAAGATAACCAGATTTTTTGTTTCATAAGACTGATTGTGATTCATGATTTAGTTATCTAGCTTCTCAAAGTTCTTTTGAAGCAATTTCAAGGTGTACAAGAAAGAATTTGGCTCTGAATCTTCATGTGTTCTGTATATAGGCTTAAAGAAGACAAGTGGTCTGTCTATATAATAGCAATGCTGTATCTGCTGCCTGAGTGTTGTAGCCAGCATGGCTGATTGGGGTATTCTGGGAGATGTAGTGTTTTTCTTTCAACACATGCAACATGATTCACCCTAATGACCTTAATTGTTTGGGTCTGGAGTATCTAAAAGGCCACTTTCCTTCTTATGATTCTGGATTCTGGACTTGGATTCTATGATAATCCTGCTCTTTGGCCTGTTACTAAGATCAATCAGTTTGGTGATACCAAGGAAACAGCCTCCTCAGTAGTGGTGCTATGCCTTTGAAAGTTCTTCACCCAAGAAATTAGTTTGGTCCCATTATAAAAAATTTTAGACTGGCCCTAATGAATTCTGTTCAGGCAAGCTTTTGATTTTCATGTGCACTTTAATTTGTTGAATCTTGCCATTTTGTTTTGTTTAGTAATTATGATGTGATTTATTTTTAATATATTGTACACTTGCCTTGGACAGCTTGTTCTGAAAGATGGCTTCAATAATATAAATCAATCAAACAAACAAAACCAGGAAGAGAACCTAAGAGAAATCCATACATACTCTGTATTTATTAGGGAAACAAGTGAACTATTGTACTTTTATGTGGGGCAATCATTACAAGATTAGCTGTAATCCTATATGGATTCACTGAGAGTCCCACTGATTACAGTGGGGCTTGCTTCTGATAAATACCACATTGCCCTAAGAGGCAGAACTTCCCATAAACCCTAGGCTATGGTGTTGTCTTTCTTTGTTTGACTGCCAAATATGTCATTGTCTTTTGAAAATGATGTCAGATATGGTTCATCGCAAATGTTACATTCACTGCTTAGTTTAAGAAATTGACAAGGAAAAACAGATCTCAAAATATAATCCAAATATAGATCTATATCTGGAAAGAAAAGTGTAAAATGCTAATAGTTTCTGAAGTTAGGCAATTATGAATATAGGCTGGAAATCCAGCCTTAAAATACCTTCAGAAAGGAAGGCACATTTGTTTAATATGAACAACAGTTTGAATGTTGGTCAGAAGAATACAAAACATGTTAACCTATGTGTAGAACAATATAATATTCTTCATTACAGAGAACAACACTTGATATGACCACACAGAAACTAGTTATTAATGAAATTATCCTAATAACATTGAGTAATGTGAATAATTGTGCCATGGCTGCATACATTGCCAATTTATATTTAGCACTGAGGATGAGTGGTTATTTCAACACATGGTCCAGGTCTATAAATATCTTTTTTTGGTGAATAAATATGACATAAAGAATCTTAAGGAAGAATAGAGTAAGCAATTGGATTGTCCTACCTTGCCCAGCCAATGCATAGCTCCATTAACATCCTTCTCAGAAAGATTAACTGATCTTAGGTTATTTCTAATTCAGCAAAAACTTTTGTTTCATGTATATTGTTCACCCCAACATCTTTTTAATAAGAATTGTCTAAATCAGCTATCTGATGAAGATGTAATACAGTTCATGCTTCACTTATCCACATGTTTTGGCAATATCCAATGGCTGCCTCTTTTTAGGAGGAGATTATGATAACCTTTGAGAAGAATACCATGCTGTTCTTAATCCCCACCTGCTTCTTGGAAGGGTTAGGGTACAGAACATATTACACTTCCTTTTTACATCACAACTGTCTCAAAGGCTTGTGGCTTTACAAAATTGTGTCTCTTCACATTTTTAAATGAAGTCATTGAGGCATTTCCTACAATACTTACGAAATTTGTTCAGGATTGAACACTGAAATACTGATTATACTGCAGAGTCAGAGAACATTCCTATTGCTTTTGTGGCAGATATTTGTAAGCCTCTGAACTTGGAAATTTATGAACATCCGGTGCAAGATGTGAAGTGTAGCAATTTCTACCACTGCTGCACTTTGCACTCTGCATTTTCAGTCATGCAGACTGAATGAAAGAGAAGGAAGTAATATGGGGTAATATTGGAGTAGGTGCACTCTGCACCCCCATCTTCCTCTGCTCCTCACCATGACATCCACCTTTTTCCACCTCCAAAGCCCATAGAGGAGGACAGCCAGCACCATCTTTGAGAAGGTTAAGTGAAATAGGGGCTTAGTCTTTGGTGCTAAGCAGGGGTTTGGTCTTGGTCTCATTCTGAGGCCAGATGACGTTGGTGTTCTGACTGAACAATCTTACAGCCTTCCAGATTATGTTGGGAGCCCATAGGATTGTGCCTTTAGACTATTAATTAAAATCATGTATGTGTTCCCATATTAGCAGGATCTGAAATATTTTCTAAGACTAATAGGCTGCCTTCCTAATTATCTAGAATCCCAGTCCATCACCCACCACTATAATTAAGTTCCTCTCAGATAATGCCAGTGTTTGGAAACCTTTCATTCAAATCCTCTTCTTTTGCATACTGCTTGACTGATTACATGTGCATGGGCATGAGTGCCAATATTGCACACACGAACTTATATTCAAAACAATTAATTCACCTCTGTCCCAGACATGAAGATGTAATTCTCTTTAAACAGAACATTTCAAACTCCTACAGATTTCATTCTGTTGTATGTGGTTTTGGGATATTGTTTTTTCTTTTCTTCCCTTTTTCCTGTATGTCAAGGCTTGTAAATTCTAAGGAAGTCATGACTGCACAACATGACTAATATTAATGAATCCTTGTTTACAAGCACCCACACCCACACTGATAGTCTCTAAGGAGAAGCTACGCTGCACCTCCAATTCTCTCTTCCCCTCTTCCCCAAAGTAAGCCTTTGTTTCCTAAAGGGTTTCAGTTCTTTGACCTTTCTGCAAAGCGGCCAAGAGAAACGCTTGGCTTGTTCCCCTTTGCCTTTTTATGGAGCCGCCATGCGGGGCTGTCAGGGAAGACTAGGTAGGGGGAGCCCTTATCAGAGCGGGCTGCAACTTGCTTTCTCGCCAGGAGGTCCCCTTGGCTAGGACAGGGACCGCTCGGGCTGGCGACTGCTTATCGGAAAGGGGCGGGGAGAAGGGGATGCGGGCGGAGAGCACGCCCACGGTAGCTGCTGTCGGCAGGACGACCCAGGCTGCCCCTGTATCCCCGGCGCTCCCGGAGGCGCTGATGGACGCGCTCTGGCAGCAACCAAGTGTCAGCGGCGCACGTCAGCCAGCCCAGCAGGGGGAAGCGAGCGCCGTGCCGTGGGTGGAGGAGGGGAGGGACAAAGGGCGGGAGGCAACTTCGGCGCAGGTGACACCAAGTTCGCTCCTGCGAGTGCGTTTCTCGATTACCTCAGAGGTGCTCCTCTTGCAAACGCTAAAAGAAAATGTGACGCGCCGGAGAGAGTAAAACCAGCGGCGAGTGCCAATTAATCCCCCGATGCCTGAGGAGAGGCGGCCAGAGTGACAGGGGACTAGAGCGAGCGGGCGAGCGCGCTCCCGTCGGCCAGAAATAAAGCGCTAGCATGCACCTGAAGGGCAAAGTGGCTCTGGTGACTGGGGCAGCGCAGGGCATAGGCAAAGCCTTCGTCCAAGTGCTGCTGGAAAGGGGCTGCAAGGTAAGTGGGGGCGGGGGGGTCCCTGTCCAGGTCGCCGGCGTTGCTCGCTCGTCGCCTACCTCACGCGCGCCTCGAGGGGCTGCCAGAAGCCTTGCCCTGCGCCGGGAGGGCCAACCTGGCTCCTTCACTTTGCTCCCGCTGCGACTCGAAGCTTCTGGCTTGTCTCCCTTGCCCCCAATTTACGATGCACTGCGCAGCGCTGGGTGCCGTGCGTGCGTGCGTGTGCATGTGTGTAGAATTATGCCACTTTCAAAGGATGGAGCATATGCGCGGGTAAACGCACGTGCATTTAGGAATGTGCATATTCATATATGTCTGTATTCAGAAGTACCATTTCACAACATTCATATGTACATTCATGCATCGGGATGGAAAATAGCCTGGTATTATGTATGCATCTTTCGGTGGTATGAAAGTGGGGCAGGTATGTGGATGGATGCATACGTGTATCTTATAGAAACACCAATATAGATAATTTACAGCATGATCTCATGCATGTTTACTCAGAAATAACTCCCACTAATTTCAATAGGACTTACTTTTTAAGAAATGCTCTTTTTTTCCTCTTATTTTGCCCCCACCTCTCAGTGCAGCCGTAACCACGCTGAATAGGAAGTAAGACCCACTGGTCATAGTGGGACTGACTTCAGAGTGCAAAGGATTGCACTATTAAATTTTGGTAACTCTTAAGTCCCCATTGATTAAATGGGAAGAAGTAAGCACATGCTTAATGTTCCCTGTGATATCAGTGTGACTTAAAAGTAGTTCAGTTGGTTCTATCATACCCAAACAATACATATAACACATATGTGTTTTTGGCACATTATTTCATGCAAAGTTCTCTCTATGCCCAAATAGAGATACTCTGCCTTATTTTCACTTTCTAAAGCCTTTCCTATCTTGTTCCTTTATAAGATTGATATAGTGATTATTTCTTTACTCTCATATATCACTCTGGGAACATAATTTTATGGGTCTGGATTGATCATGATCTCTTTTCATACAGGTAGCTCTTGTGGATATAAATGTGGAAGTAGGTAAGGCAAGCAAAGAAGGCTTTGACAAGCAGTTTGATGAACAGATGACCATTTTCATCCCTTGTGATGTTTCAAAGGAAGAAGAACTGAAAGGTAGAGGGTTATTTGCTGTTTACCATTTCAACATACATGAATCTAGGTACTCAGCTAGTATAGGAAAAGGAAACTCCATGATTTTCCCAGCATAGAGGAGGGGAAAGGCATAGGTGGAGTGGTGATGACCCTTTGTGGAGGCATGCAAGTTAGCATGTATCAGGATACCCATTGATACCATCAGCCCCACAGTAGGATTTGGAATAAGAGTCTACTGGGTGTCATGCAGGTTTCAAGTTATATTTACAACTGTACAGTCAAATAAATATACAAGAGCTGACTCCCGCATTTCTGAAAGTATAAATTCTAGTAGTTATGCAGACTTGGCCGTTTAGAAGTTCAGAGGGTTACAGGCAACCACACAACCAAGCCATCATTCATTGCCCCTATACAAACTACCATGTTAAGGGGGGGGGGGAAGAATTATCCCCCCATTATCTCCTTAGAGACTAACATCTTTAACATCAGAGAGGGAATAATAAGACCTGCACAACTGTGGCTGATGGTACGAAGAATGAACTTAAAGGATAAGCTTTATCTTTTACTCAGAAAGCAATCAAGTTGTAAACTTTTGAAGTAAATATTCAGGATAAGCTAGACACCATGAGGAGTGAAAATATAATGTGAGAAGCAAAGAGGTATAGTTTATTATGTGTTCAGAAAAAATCAGGAACCCCATTTGGAGGCTAGTTAATTTCAACTAACAACAGCTTTTCATTTTTAAAGATAATACAGCTCCTCAATGCTTGCAAAATGATGCACAAGGGGAATTTATTCCACATTTAGCTGCAACCTATGAGAAACCTGCTCCCAGACTTATTACTTGTGAGAAACTACTCTTTTGAACAATTCCACCTATAGGTTTTCTTATTTTTCTAAAAAAAGTTACTTATATTTCATGACATACAAAACTCCATGCTACTATGCCTCAGTGGCCTTTTCCCACCATAATCAATCTTTTTAGAATATTTTTACATAAGTTGATTTATTAAAGGAATATTTTGTTCATGGAGGGGGGTGTAAGATCTTAGGGCACATTCCTAGCATAACACAGCTACTTCTCCCTATTATAGATCTTTACCAGCCAGATATGGTCACCACCTTGAGAATAAATAGCTTAAAATTCACTGAGCTATTCACTTTTTCCTCTACTTTCCTTCTTTCACATAACCCACACAACCAACAGACTTCCTCCTTCCCTGACTGACAACTGTCTCACTGTACATAACCTTAGTAGTCATTTCTCAATGGTTGTTTTTCACCTAATAGAAGTCCAGTTAATCAAAGTCCATTTTTCCAAGAGCAATTAAAATGGAATTTATCTGATCCCCTGTATAAATATGAAAAAAGTTTCACTGCCTCATTTCAAAATATGTTTGCAAGCAGTACTCCTAGGTAGGCCTTTGACAGAAACAAAGTTAGCCTGCAACCTATGCAAGTACGGCCTGACCTCTCAAAGGCCACATGAAGTATTTTAGAAGAGCAAGAATAGTTGCATACAATGGTAACAAAGACAAACCAGCTTAATCTTAGCGTTGAAAGTGTGTTTTGCTGAAATTACTTAACCTGGAAGTAAGTCACACTGACCTCAGTAAGGCTTACTTTTGAGTATTTCAGTACTGGATTTTAATATCGAGTCATTTATCCATTCTGTTAATAAGAAGTTTCCAACAGAAAACACCTATACTTAATTTAAAAGTGAGATTATATACATGAGTATAATCCTATGTATATACTTTTAATAAATTTCATATTTTAGTTTGAATTATTTCCATTATTCTAGCGCATTAAATTGTATAGAAATAAGGAAAGTTTCTCTTTGTACCCCTGCTACATTCCTAATTTGCCTACAGAAACATTTAAGAAGACTGTTCAGCATTTTGGAAAGCTGGATATTGTAGTTAACAATGCTGGTGTGAATAATGAGAAAAACTGGGAAATCACAGTACAAATTAACTTGGTAAGTTTAATTATGTGTTTAATGTTTACATAGCACATTATTAAAGGACTTGTGTTTTCTAAAAGGAGAAATATGGGTAATATTTAAGAATTTACTGGAAGAAAGTTATACTTTATGTTTTGAGATAAGTGCTTAAGAACCATACAGCATAATCCTATACTTACTTTAGAGGTAAATCCTGGGTTCAGTAGACTCCCAGCCAAGTATGAACAGGATTAATAACAAGCATTCCTTACAAGTGGATCTTTTCCTTGAAGCTAGGCTTCTTGAATAATCATTGATTTATCTAAACTGCACATCTTCCCTGAACCAGGAGGAATAGAAACTCAATCTATTGAGTTAGATTTTCCTCTCATATCAGCCTAATATAGCAGAAAGTGACATCCTATATTTGCCTACTCAAAATTAAGCCCCATTAAATTCAATGTAATTTATTACCATATAAGTGAATATAGTATCACTTTCTAGGAGTAGCTATGATTATACTAAATATATTGAGAACTTGTCAGCTTTTTCTATCCTAAAGTTTCTTTATCCCTAGACTCAAGGGAATAGTGTGGGTGAATGTCTGGGTATCAGAATCCAATTTTTGCTGGCTGCTTCTGCTGAAGTAAGTTATGTTGAGGCCAACGTGTCCATGGAAACATGTATAGCAGATTTTTATGCTGTTTTTGCTGTTTAAATTCAATTTCCTACATTAGGAATTCATTGTGCACTTTTCATTTCTTACACACAGTTGTCTGCTAGTGCTTCCACAACAATGTTTCACTTCTAATTAGTTTCACTTCTAATTTTTAAGAACATTTTGAGAAGCAGGTCATCATGGGAAAAATGCATTACTATTTCTGAAAGTGAAATTATTTTCTTCTCTGTGTGTGTTATACTCCTACAGCCTAGTACCACCACCTAGTTGTGTAGTAAGTAGTTCATTGGGAAAATGTTGCATGATCCTGAGAATGTTATTGTCCCATTAAATTCATTGTGACTTGCTTCCAAGAAAAGCTTCAATCCTAAACATTTTCTTAAAAGAGTGAACCAAACTGACACAGTAGGATTTGCCTTTGAATGAGCTTGTGTAGGATTCCATTATTTGTTTAGGATTGCAGCTTAGAATGTAACACAAAATAAGTCGCCCCAGGAATTAAAAATAGCTGCACAGTTAAAGCAATTAAAAACCTGAAGATATTATATTTCATCTCATGGTGCTCTTATGCAGCACATATATTTCATTTTTTTCTTTGAAATCAATGACTAAAATGCATCATGATTTTAATCTTCCTCTTGCTTGTTTATTCTCATGCAAGAGACAACTCTGGCATGTTTACTCAAATGTAAGACCAGCAGGTTAACGGCTTATTTCCAGAAACACATGCAGAAGATTTCAGGCTTAAGCAGAATGGAAAACATGCAAATTATTTTTAGTCAGTGGGAGAGGGGATCAGACAGCAAATACATATGTTTTCTCTTTCTGAGAGGGCAAGGACAAATATAAAGTTTAAGTCCCATCCAAAGAAGAGGAACCCCTCAGGCTTCTGGAGGTGCACGGGATTGTTCTGCTGCTTCTGAATACTTGAAGGTTTAAAGCCGGAGTCAGAAATATCAGGCTTTAAGCCTCAGAAGCCCACACAAAAAAAAGAAGAATCAGGAGGGGAAACTACTTTCTGTCAAACACCTCTCAATTCCCCATCCTGGTTATAAGAAACCAGGGTAACTAAATCACTGTTTTCCAATTACCAGCATGTATGTTGGAGGAAAGAATCAAACATCTCTTCAATCTTCAAGGAGATTGAAGGGAACTATAGGGAACCCAATTAACCTCAGTATTCCTTGTTTCTGAATTACTTCATGCTTTAGAGTACAGAGTGTGGCCACCTCTACAGTTGTTGTTTAGTCGTGAGTGACCCATCACAACCCCATGGACAACATTCCTCCAGGCTCTCCTGTCCATCATCCCTCGGAATCCACCCAAGCTCACACCCACTGCCCCAGTGACTCCATCTAGCCACCTCATCCTCTGCCGTCCCCTTCGCCTTTTCACCTCTACAGTACCTCTCAACTCATGGCATGAAGGAAGGTGGCATGCGATCTATGCAGGGATTTCAGCAGCTCTCTAAATAAGCCATTGGTGCTAGTATGAGAAGGGGCCCCACCAATGTTCTTTAGATACTAGTGATCCCTCTTCACTTCCTATGTCATGGAACAGAATTTGCCAATCTTTCTCAATCAGGGGATTTGAATGTTCACTATTATGACAGTTAATAGTGTCATAACTGACACTATTAATCAAGTGATGGCTAATTGAATGGAGGCCAGCATTGCCAAAAGGCATTGCGAACATCCACTGAAAGCTGAGGAGGAACAGAAACTCCTGAAGAGTTCAGTTAACAGTTCTCCCTTTCCTTTTTGTCTTCTTTTCTAGCTTCATATGCAACACACACAGAAAAATTCTCCACAGGTCATGCAAAACTGCTACTACTTATTTATTTATATCTCATATATACAAAGTATATTTCAAATTAAAAATATAACCCAGGATGATAGTCCAAGAGTTTAAAGTACAAAGCCATTAACCAGTATAGTACACAACTCTGAACGTGAACAAACAAAGAAGAGGGTGTAGTCCTTAGATTAGAATGTTCTATAGCTTATATTTTGTTTTTATAAGCTTTTGCAAAGGAACTGGAAGAGTAGGGAAATGGTATTAATTTCTGTAGGGTAGCAAAAGAAAAAGCAGAATAAACAAAGGTGAAATGTTTGAAAAACAGACTGATTAAACAGTCAGTTCTTCATATGTAACAACAGTATTAGTACTGGCAGTACAAGGTTATACTGAAAAAACTTATTTGCACTAAAAGTGTTGTAGAACATAAGCTCACTAAAGTGAGTTATTCTTTCCAATATTTATACCATATTCAAATATTTTCATGATCAAGACAGTAACTTTTGATATTTTTATGTAATAATTCTTGCCTCTTAACTGAATCTCTGTTGTGACTAATGCAGTCTCTTTTTTCATTTATAAAAGGTATATAATCCTAATCAACTGCCAGTAAAAATGAAATGCTTAAGGGCATTTTTAAAAAGAGTCAAACTTTTATTGCATACTGTTGTTCAGGTATACATCAGTCAACTAGTAGACAAAAACATAATTGCTCCCATTTTTATACCTGTTATTTCTATTAAATAAACTCCTTACCAACAATAAGGCAAACACTGCTGCAAGTTCCTAAGCTATGTTCAGGTCTCATGAGCATCACACTGAAACAAAATGTGATCATATAGAAGGATTTAAAATCAGTCTGGTGAAAGCAAATCACTGAGTTAGATTCTAATGTGTTTGTGAGAAAAAGGTGTCCTCTCATTCCTGATTAGGACCTCAGGTGGTAGAAGTGGTGGTGGGAGATAATTTCCCCTCCCCATGCAGTCTCTTGCTGCTATTCCAGAAGGTTCTGCAACCCTAGAGAGTAGATTTGGAGGGCAACAAAGGGCTTGAGAAGGGAGTATTGCAAGTCACCTTTTCTGATATTTATTATATTTATATTCCACCTTTTTTTCCTTCCAAAGAACTCAAGGTGGCTTACAATAATTCTCCTGCCCTTCTCAGTCTTACTCTCATAACAACAATCCTATGATATGCTTTGGGCAGAGAGTCTGTGACTGGGCCAAAATCACCCAGTGAGCTCCATAGCTGAGCAGGGACTAGAACCAAGGTTGCCTGAGTTCCAGTCCGACACTCTTAACCACTACACCACACTTATATGAGCAGAACTCTTCACTGGATGCTTCTGTGAACAAGAGTAAAGTTACAATCCTTGCCATTGCCTTTTAAATTGACTCTTCTTCTTCAACCAATATTCATTTTTATACAGTTTTATTGTCATTTTAATTCATAATTTTGGAATATATTGCAGTAAGTTATCATCGTTGTCATCATCACTATCATTCCAGACTACCCAATAGCCTAAGCTCTCTGGGCAGTTTACAGTGGCATATAAAATATAATGTAATTCTAGATAACAAAATCTATAAAGATACAATACAAAATTTAAAAGCCAAAATTAAAACCAACCTGAGGTTAAAGAGATTACAGTTGGCACCAGGTGAGCCTCAGCAGAGAGCTTATCCCATTACCGGGGCTGAGGGCAGCGGTGCAGGCTAGGGGTGCCCTTCTCATGTTTGCCGTAGATTAAGCTTCCCTTGGTGGTGGCAGTCCGAGGCAGACCACAAATCTAGATCACAGCATGGTGTCAAGTTGCAGTTGAGAGAGTACTGAGTAACCCAGTACTACATTCCATTAAGTACTGTGGTCTCAAGCTGTGTAGGGCTTTGTAAGTAATTGAGCTTGGAAGCATGCAGGTAGATCCTGGGTTACAGAAAAGTTCAATTCCTGAGAATGTCCTTGGCAAATCTGTATGTATGCTGAATCATGTAAGTCAAATGTTTGTCTTCGTAAATATATTTATTTTACCCTTCTATGCATACAAAACATTTAAGAAATACTTTCATATCACTAAAACATCTTAAACACAACATTATAACAATGATAATAATACAGAATAATAAAGTAACTACAGGTACTGAAAAGAAAGAGGAAGGGAATCTGTATGTACGTATGTGTGGAGAAATACAGTATCAAAAAATTAGTTGTAACTTGCCTTTTATGCCTGGCTCAGTATATGTTTGAGCTTCATTGTCTGTCCATCTTTAATTTTAATACAAGTCCAACAGAAAATAACCTGGATTTTTAAAAGTGACCTACCAGGCCCTCATTATCTTCCAAAGTTTTCTGATAATGGACTGCTAGGGCAATATAGTGCAGTGCCTGCTTATTATATTCCAAACACTTTAATGCATGGCAAATTAGTCTCAATGGAACAGTGTACAGTGGCAAAACTGCTTGAGCATTTGTTGAGCTTCCATTTTCAGTTTCTGATGGAACACAAGGCTTATGTGGAAGAGGGAACAAACATAGTGTCTGAGGCATTGAAGACCTTGGTGGAGAAGGTGAAAACATTTGATCTAGGGAAATGGGTTTTGGTGGCTATCTCTAGGGACCTATGCAGCCACTGATGACACATCATCAAATGTGTTGTGCAGTTCTTTAGAGATATTCGTGGGTTTTTGTGAGAGATATTCATATAAGGTTTATGACAGAACACACCTTCATAAGTACAAGTTGTTCCTAACCCGCAAACTACCTGTATAGGCAGGGTAGCCACCGGTCTAAACACATAGCATGGTCTAAACATGTAACCATTAATGGTCCCTGTTATTAATCTGGCTGCCACATTTTCCACAAGCTACAGCTTCTGAACAGTCTTCAAGGGTAGCCCCCTGTAGAACACATTGCAGTAATCTAGTTTTAGTGATTACTGAAAACAGGCAGTCCCTCTCCAGATAGGGGCAAAGTTGGGCCACCAACCAAAGCTCATAGAATGTATTTTATGCCACTGACACCACCTGGATCTCAAGTGAGAAAGGTGACTCAATGAGTACTTCCAAGCTGTGAAGGGAAGTGCAACTTCATCAAGAACATGTGGAATCCCTGGTCTAAGAACCATCAACTAACTATCTCAGTCTTGTCTGGATTGAACTTCAGTTTATTAGTCTTCATCCAGTCCATCGTTGCAGCCCAGCACTGGTTCATCTGAAGCTTCACCTGCTAATGATGAAAAGAAGAAATAGAGCTGTGCGTCATCAGCATACCGTCAACACAGCTCTGAGTAAAGCTGTTGAGGGATTGTTCAAAGATTCATACTCAGGAATGTGCAGATATTCGGGCTGAAGCAAGATAGCAGTTTTATCCTTGACAGTGGAAAGGCACAGAGGGATACATCCAAGGGTGCAGGCTGGAAAGGGGAGAATAATCAAGAGCAGAGTGTTGCTAAAGCAAAGGGTATCTGCTTGAGTTTCAGGGCAGCTGACGGGTGGCTTCAGTTTCAGATGAACAGACACCAGAGTCAACATCTCTTGATGTTTTCTTTTGAAGGTGAATGCCACAAGCTGTTGGCAAGCTGTGTTCCTTTATAACTGCTACTGTATCATGAAAGGACCAGCCTGCTGGGAAATGTGATACTCATTTTCATACCTGCATTCATAGTACGACAAGCCTGTTTTTGAACAAACTACAGTTAACCCTGGACCTTAAGAAAAAGATAATGTAGGTCTAGAAGTTTCCAGTAAAGAAAGTGGAACTGAAAAGAACTATCAGGAAAGTCTACTGTGCTCTAAATAGAAATATTTGAAAGACTTGCTTGAAGTAGTAGAAGACCTAGAGGGGAGGGGGAGGGAGAAGGACAGATACAATATCCAGAAGTGACTGAAGAGGAACACTGAATCACTCATGCTTCCTGTTACCATTTCATTGGAATGTACAAAGCAGATTTCAGAGTACGCAGCAAAGGCATCAGAGATCGCACATGATGTGGGCATAACATCCTGTGTTTTTAAAATCAGTTTTAGCTGACATGAAGTGCAGCAACACACTGTATTAACTGTGTGTCTTGCATTATGCTGTGGGATTTATTTATTTTTCAGTAAAGTGCAGAGGGTAGAACATTTCTGTTGGGATACAGCATGTTGGAAGTAAAGAGGGATTAACTCTCCCATTGAGGAACCCTGGCGGAAGAGCTGCAATTAGCAATTGGGGGGGGGGGGACCTGCAGAAGTATTTCAGAGTGCCATTTGAAGTTCTAGGTCATGGGTTCCATGTAAATGATGGCCTGTTTTATTTGCTACCAGTTTTGCAGAACAAATTCAGGACAATCATAATGTGGCACTGTTCAAAGCTTCTGCAAGCCCTCTTGACTATCCAGCTAGCTTGTCATTCAAAAATGGCAAAACCCACCAGCCATGCCAGTAAACCTGCAGAACCTCAAAATATTGGAGACTGTATATTAACTGAATTAATGAACTGTTGCTCAGCAAGGATAATGTTAACCAGTTAGTTGATTAATAATACACCCTACTTTGCATATATTTTTTTCAAAATAAGATATTAGCAGAACCCAAATTAGCAGAAACCATGGCTCTTCATGATGATTCACTACCCACAAACCAAATGGAAGTTAGAAGCTTGCTAAGTCTTACGTATTACCATGGGAGATTAATTTCACAGTATGTTCTAACTTCTACTTGTACATATATTGATGCTTATTTGCACTTGTAATGGAACACAAGGCCCTTGACCTTATATTGAATAATTCATCTTAAATTTAATAATCCATTGGATACACAAACTGCAGGTACATGACTATACTGCAGCTTTCTCCTTGGAATCACCATTCAAGATGCCACAAATAAAGAAGAGGCACAAATGAACTGCCTTCCTTTACTTGGATACCTAAAACTTTTAAAGACAGATTATAGCTGAACTATTGTTAAAACTATCCAAAATGGTCACCGGAACAATTTCATTAGTAATCCACAACATATAACTGCCAAAGTGCAAACACTTCTGCCAATATTAGCATTAGGAATGAATTTGCTATCACAGAATGTTTCTTCCTAACTACTCAGTCGGCCATTGTGTTGTATTGACACAAACAATCTATTTGGCTCTTGAAGGTCACCAGAGTGTTGTAAAAATCAAAACTTTGGTGTGCTTTCAGATGAGGCTTTAATGGCTGCATCAGTCTGCTCAATTCATGGAAGTTTGGGAAAAGCGTACACCAGATGCCAGTGACTTCTATTCATGAGCCTCCCATGTTTTCTTACCTCTTTTTCTATCTTTTTCCTTAATGCAAAAAATTATTAAACAAAAAATGGAACAGCTTCTGATTGCTAACTGGGATTGCTCCATGTAGAAACACCCTTGTGATTTCTTAGGAATGACGACCATTTCACCTAACTTGTACACTGTGCTGGGCAGCACTCACACAGCTATACCTCTGCTTTATCTTTTCATTTGCCTGCATTTCCATTCATTGATTTTTGTGACCTATTGCCACTGGCAACTATTCCCACTCCCTAGAAATAGGCATAGATGGTTATGATTACCATAGAAAAAGCTATAATATCCAAGTTAGAGAAATGTATTTGCTTAGGAATAAGTTGCATGAACTTTTTTGACCCCTCATGGTGCAGATAGCCATGTAAATGCAGTGACTTGAATATAAGTGGAATTTCCAAACACCAACCTGTATGTTTACCCCATTTTTGCTCACTTGCACAACAGTTTGTTTATCCAGGTGCTGGAAAGTTCAACACTATGCATTATTTATCCTAACATGATAGTTACAAATTCCAGTGGTGAAACTGACAGCTTTCAATCTGCTTTTTCCCAAGGTCAGAAAATGTCTTCCCAGTACATATGAAATTCATCAGGATTTGATACCCTCTTTGCCAGTTTTCCTTGTATTGTGAAGGTGCTCTGCAATCATGTTCCCTGTTCCACATCTGAGAACAAAAGTGAATTTTTCAAAATTGCAGAGAGAAGAAAACATGCCAATTTAATTCCTTCTTTTGTAGCCTTTGCACATAGTGCAAAACAATTTTCCTAAAATGGAATCAGTCATGGACAGGTGAAATGTTTCCGCACTTGTGTAAGAAGTGTGAAAATGTCCTTTGACTAAAGAGGTGAAACTGGCAAGAATTTTCTACTGCTAGTGTATGGTAACCTGAACTTTGTGACATACTTTTACAGTTAGTTTGGCAAACACTACAAAGGTTCAAGCATATATTAGCAAGATGAAAATCTAGCATGTCACACATATGTGTTAAAAACAAGAGACATTAAAAGAGCTCAGTCAGAGCAAAATCAAGTTTCAGAAGAGGAGCACATGGAATATAACTTAAAGATGTATGGAAAATACAAAACAGAACAACCATAGCATTCAAGACAGGTTCAAGATGTGCTCTAAAAGAAAAAAAAATTAATAGACTTATCTCAAACTGAGACAGTACTAGGTGTGAGACTTCCTTTTTATTTTCTATATCAGATGTCAGTGATTAGAGGAACATATCTTGGCCTAGATTACATGAAAAAAGAAAATGGAGGCACTGGAGGAGTTATTGTCAACGTAGCATCATTAGCAGGTAAGAAGATCATTTAAAAAAACTTTATTTTAAATGTTATAACCTTTTCCAAGATAGAAGCCCAAGAAGCTTCAATAAAGCACTATAGGAAAATCAACTCAAACATTACATCCATCTAATGTCAAACAACAGCATCACAACAGATTAATTACATGCTGCAGTAATTCAGATTTATCGAAGGTTTTGAGGAAACAACTTTTCACCTGATGTCTCAAAGAAATGAAGAAAACTGCTGAGTGAATAGGTATGAAGAGTACATTTCATAGCTGGGGTGCTACAACATTTTGCCCTCCCCCATTCTACATAGTTGTCAATGCTGTTTCACCATCCCATCAGCATTTTGTTCTTCCCACTCCACATCATAGGCTGGTGAGAGTGCTGAAACACAGGAAAGAATCCTCTTCATGGTCTCTGTGCATCACACATGAGCTTGGTGCCTGCATGGAGCCTCTTGTTAGTGGGGAGGTAGGTGGAGACGACCATAACTGCCACTAGCAAAACTCTGGCATCTTAATTTCCTGTTCCATTAGCACTCTGTTTCCTGGTAGACGGAACTCTGGGTTTCAAGAGTGCCATCCTTGAATGTCCATCGGCTAACTGCAAAAGCTGATACTAGCATAACAGGCCTAAAAAAGTCCAGGCCTTAGAGCTTGTTCCTCAGTCTTCTGATCCCTAATCCTCTACTGAGCTTTAAATCTTGATCTTTGCCTGGCTTAAACTGTTTCTGGATCACTGTCATTTGTTTGTTGCTATGAATCTTATACTGCCTCTGCATCTGCCTTCAGCCTCTCTGATCATTGCAGCCTGAATTCTGTAACATGACTTCTGCCTGTTTTGGACCACACACCCCTGCCTGGCCCTAACTAAAGTAAACTGTCAGATTTTTTTCTTTCTTTTTTCTGTGCAAAAGGTTACACAGTCTTGCTAATGTGATGCTGGATATCACCCAAGGTGTATTTATGAGGATACTTACCAATTACTCATTGTGTCCTTTAGTGCAACACTGAAATAAGTGTGTGTACACATGCATGTGTGTGAGAGAGCAACAAAAGATACTAAAGATAAATGTTCCAGAGTCAGAAAACAAGGCTGAGAGTCTCTTGCTAGCACAGAAGGTTGCCGTCAATAGTTGGCTCTAAGAGACTATGGTGAGAAATACGGTGGCATGGAAGACTCTTATCTATAAGTGGTTTGGGATAACAGAATATGCTATGTTTAATCTATAATTCCTTGACTGAGGTGGAACAATTTGATGCGAAATTAAGGTGGAATTAACATTTTAGTTAACAAAAATGAAGATATGGTCTTGGCCATCTGCAGGGTGGGAAATTTGCACCCTGCCCTATGCTTCTGAGATTTATTTTACATCTATGTTACAGTAGGGTTTATAAGGAAAATAAATCTGGTTAATGCATATTCAGTATCATAACTTCCAACCCACTGCTGACCATTGTAGATCAGGTCAATGCTTCTTGGAGACTAAATGGCATATATTCTTTTCAAGATGAAGTTGTAGATGAAGCTGAAGGTAAGGAATATGATGTAGCTCAGCAGAAGATAATTTTAAAACATTTAGTAAATATTGACTCAATGAATGAATGCTGTAAGTCAACTAAAGGCAGAAAAAAATCAATATACATTGGTACCAGACTGGAAAACTGGAAAAAATGTAAATTGTATCTCTAAAATAGAAACTTACCTTTGTTTAATTCATAATTTACTGCAGAGATGCCACCAATGTTACTTTGCAACACCTTAATATATATATAAAGCCACTTAAATATACATTAAAACCTGTGGTATGACATACATACATAAACTATCATATGGTGTACACTCACAAACGTACCTTACTACTTTTCTTCTCAGGTTGCCTTGGGGCAATCTACACCAGGCATTTTTATGAGCATTGTAACACCTGATTCACTGGCATGTCACATGACAGCCTACCTGTCTTCCTCACATTATTTCTCCCAGTATTTCTTGGATTTCTTCATACTAGTTATATCACAACTTTTATATATTGTGTTTTTCCCTCAGCGTGTGTTATCATTATATGCTAAACTAGTAGTACTGTTCTGGAGTCAGGAGGAGTAGCTTCAGTAGGTTGATGGAGAGGAAGTAGTGTCCTGTTGGGTCTTGGGTTGGCAAAAAGAACAGCAGAATGAGATCCTTCAGTTGTTTTCTTCCTCCCTCCCTCCCCCCTCCCCCCCCCTCTCTCTCTCTCTCTCTGACTTGTAAATTCAATGCTGCTTTCCTCTTTCCTTCCCTGTCCTTGAAGAAAATAAGGTCTGCAATGTCTTTTCAAGCCTTCCAGATGGTCTTCTTTTTCTTCTTGCCTGAGGAAACAACCAGCATGTCCATTCAGAAGTAACTCACATTATCTTCAAAGGCCCTGCCCACAAGTAAACCGCTTTGACTTCAGGGCTCCTTTTAGGTATAAGGGAACAGAGCTGGAGGGGCGGGTGTTACTCCTGCTGACTTAATCCTATGGAAGGAAGACAGCAAGTAGCTGCACAGCCTCCTCTTTGCCTCTCCTCTCCGTGATTTTTGTGATATGGCAAAAGGGGCAGCCTTTTAAAAAGTCATTTTTTAAAAGTGTTTTAAAGTTCATTCACACATATGCCTAAGTAATGGATTATTAAAAATAATTCTGCACATATCCCCTTTTATAATTCCTACTTTTGTTGCATTTTTATTTGTGTGTGACACAGGCTCACATTTTCAATTACGCTGTATTCATTAGCATGTGCCCCAACTATGATAGTGATAAATAGCAAGCCGTGTACCCTTATGATCAGAATGGGCTCTAGTCAAGATCCTTCCCTTGTTAAAATGATATGATCATGTACCTGTATAGAAGTTTCAGTGGAATTTGTTAGCTGGGCTTCTAGACACTTGTTGAATTTATCCACAAAAAGTTATATCACCAAAAAAGAGAATGCAGAATTACAGAACTACTGGCCAGAACTAATTTATCTGGCACAAACACACTACTCCACTGTATTTTATAGAACAAAAATGAGAACTTATTAATGTTTCGTTTAAAAATGATAAGAAATGCATGATGGTTTTTTTCTTAACAAATAAAATTTAGCACACCCAAATAAATATTTACAATATTAGAATCTTCTGTGTATTTTAACATGTGTTCTCACTTTAATCTGAGATTAGGATATACATATTTTTAAAATATTAAAATTTGTAACACTTTTAAAACTGTCATTTTTAAAGTATTCTGCTTGTTACAATTAGTGGATATGCTTGACTATACCATCAATACATTATTAACAGAGCAACCATACATGTATTATGCCAGAAGAGCAAGGGTTCAGCATTATCAGCACATGTTTACTGTACAACTCAAAGGCCATTGCAAAGGAATATCATACCAAAAATAATAATTGGAAATTAAAGAATTAAAAGAAAGAACATGTATATAGATGGCATGAATCCTTGTCCTTACATTCCTCCAACATACCAACAAAAATTGCTCTGATTTTAGTGCAAACATTCTCTGCAGGTAGTTTCTGTCTGACAGCAAGTATCAGGTAGTGTCTACATCTGAAGGAAACTTAAGAGATCCTAGGATGCCTGTTTTTGCAGTGTCTTGCACTGCCCAATGCAATATGTGTTAGAATATTTACTTTCCTTGAAAGCAGGAGGCCTTACTGTTTCCTGTTAAAGTTTATTTGGCAGCAATTTCTGCCAAGTAATTTCAATGATATTCTGGTCAACAGTTCTTCCATTTCCTCTCATCTAATGGTAAAAAGTTTATTTTGACCCAAATTACCCTAGAATTCTTGTAGAAAGCTTTACATTCAAGTTATGAAGTTTTTTATCCATTTTATTTTGCAACAGGGTGTGCTTTGATTCTTGGGTTACATATTTTTAGATAGAGATAGAATGCATCATTGGATGCCAATCCAGCCACTCTCATCTATCTTAACAATAGTTTATGAAGATCTATAGTTTAAAGAAAACAACTAGCTTTTTTTAAAGATGTTTTAATGTACAAATGGTATTGCATGTAGTCTTAGACTGCAGGCATATTCATATTTACCTAGAAATAAACCTCATTAAAATAATGGAATTTACTTTTGAGTTGCCAAGTATAGGATAGCACTTTTACATATGCAGTGTGGTAGCATTGCTGATAATGAGAGGCTATGGACTTACAATCTGTCTTATAATTCAGTTTCCTGCAACTTGCGGAATGAGTTGTTCATAGCTTGAAAGTATGTGTCCATTAGACATTATTATTTCCAGTTCAAGTAAACAAGGGAAGTTATACCAGTAAAAAACAAAGCAAAACCCCATACAGATGCCAAAGCACTTATAGTGCAAGCCACAGAAAAGTGAATAGGGCTTACTTCAGCCAAGCAGTTATACTTAATAAGCTAGCACCAACATAAGAAAGGAAGCAAATTGGACTTGCCAATCTGTTAACACTTTCTACATTATACTTTCAGTTGAAATCCTCACTTTCATGCAGACCATAGATACTAACTCTGGCACAAATAACAGTAGTCATGCAAATTTACACATATACAATTTGATCCTATCTATATTTACCAGAAACAACACCAACATCCTCAGGAGCTGGAGCTTCAGTACCCTGGCAGGACCCACTTGCACTTTCACTAGGTCCACTGAAAGTAGTAAGAATTCAATAGCTGATGTGCATAAAAGCTGTTCATGATGCTTAATGTATGTAATAACCACATTTCATGAAGAACACACCCCCAATCTTAGTTGTATATATTTCCTGGCCAGTATAAATACTCTCCAAAAGGAGTGATGGAAGGGACATATGTTGACTGAAGTTTGTATATCAATATGCTTTCCCTCTTTCTCCACTGATCAGCATTATGAATGGATGGAAGGCTATGTAAGAACTATGTGTGAGTATGCATACAGAGCATGCACTGTATCATGTGTGAGTTGGGGTATGGAGGGGGGTAGAGAGAAATATATATATAGAGAGAGAGACAGGTGGTGATTATTTTCTTTTTTACTTACACACCTGTGTGCACACATACACACTACCTCCATCCATCCAGCACATATGGCATGTGGATTTGTATGTGTTTGAGTGGATTTGTACCTTCCCTTGCCACCCATTCATCCATACACACAGCTGAGCAGTGGAATAGATGCCTCCCTTTTCAGTGGATTGGTAGGAAACGGGGGAAGGAAAAAGGACTGCAGATAAACATTAACAGTATCTGCAACACAGCTTCCTTTCCCCTGGTGCTCTGTTGTTCCCCACTGCAGAGCAATATCTGATGGGCAGAGAGACTAGTAGCTTTCTGTAAGGTTTACAGCAGTTGGGATAGGGAATAATTTTCATTAGGATTGGATAATAGAGAATTGTTAAACCTTTCCTCCCTAGCGATCGCTACACAGCTGATAAATAGAATAAAATGGCTGTTATCATGCCCTTCTTTTCCTTTGTGGATGGGAAGAGAACCAATTGCATAACTTTAGACACCAGACAGCATGTCTTGCAGTGGACATGTGAACTAGACACAAAATGTTTCTTGGAGGTGGTGCATATCTGCCAGAGAATGCACATTCCACCAGACCTACTGGAAAATATGCAAATAAAAAGCTTTTAATTTTATTCATGAAGAAACTTTTCTATATGTGTACTCCATTAAATGTTCTGTCAATTTAATGATGGAGGGTGATGATATTTTGGGAAGAGAGAGTACTCAAGGAAAACCACAAATAAAACATCTTCCCAGTGCATTCTTGACAGTGGGGGGGATGGGGAGGCAGACAGGACTATTGTGCTTACATTTGCTTACATTTTTTCTCAGTCCCTATCCAGAATTTATTTTATTTTTAATTAGTCAATGTGTTTAAATGCTGCCCATTAGCAACTTGCTCTCTGGGCAGCCATTACAATATAAAATCAACATTATATATACTATGTATGCACAGCACTATTCTGTTTCTTGTAGCATCCTCCTTCTAATTTGGCAGTCATTTAGGACTCTTAGAGACACTTAATACAGACTCTTTGATTACAGCTGGACACTCTGTGTTGCCACCCATTGACACATTGTAGTGAATTGTTTCCCTGAAGCACAAACCACCTTTTTTGTGCATCTTTGCAATACCTGCAAACGTATATTGAGAAATTTTGTGAAGAATCATGACTTGTGCTCCTGATAGGAAGCAATGTCCACCCTCTGCTGTCACTCTTGTCAGTTTTGGTGTGTGTGCTGGAAATTTTAAACTGTTTTCTGTGTTGCTTTGAGCTTCCAATCAACTGAAAAAACCAGCTAATGATATAAATAGTAATATTACTTCTCTCCACCTTGCATTATTTCAATCAAACTTCAAAGCAGTAATAATAATAATGAAGTTATAAAAGTATACCTATACAAGTTCTCATCCTTTTGTGTTCACATGCATTCTATACCACAACTTAGGTTCATTTTAATGAAGACTTGTGACCCTTTTTCATTCCATTTTTAAAGGACTTATGCCTGCTGCTCACCAACCAGTATACTCTGCTTCAAAGCATGGGGTAGTTGGATTTACACGTTCAATAGCTGTGAGTATGAACAGCTGAAAATCTCATAATTTTCCTCCTAACAAAATCACTTTCCTGTTTTTCTTTCTCTCAACATGCAAAGTAGCTGCGTTCTTCTCTGCACCTCAGTTACCTAGATTTCAGCTATTAAAAGCAACTATGTACTTTACAATAAACATCATACAGCTTCTTTAGAATCTAACTATCTGAATATTTGAAAGTCTCCCTGATGAATTAGATAAGCTGAAATGAGTACTAAGAAAGGCACCTAAATTAGCAACAGAATATATCCACAAAGAATGTGCTAACCCTTTTGTGGCAGTGGTCAGCTGATTTGTAATTTCGTGAATACTATTATAAATTTGCCTGTCTTAAATAGATATTGTATTAACAAACTGACAAACAAATAATTATATCAGTGAGAAGCAACTAGATTTATCAGTAAGTCAACTGAGAAATAAGCAGAAGGCAATATGACATATCTGATCTGTCTTCCCTATTCACTTGCCTCTACCAGTGAACCAGGCTGGAGTGATTACTGTGCTCTGAGAAGGCAGGCGACTTCAGGAGACATGCAAGCAGGGCAAAATGTGCATTTCTATCAATTTCCCTTTTCTTCCCAAAATCAGGTGTAAAATGAAGAGGTAGATTTAAAATGGTTTTATTGTATTTTAATATAATTAACTTATAAAATTTCTATCAGCTTTAATTATGTCAATAATTTGTCTCGATTACCATCTTTTTGGTAGAAAAGTTGAAAGCAAATTAAATAAATAACAATAAACTGCTAATTACACATAGGGAAGATTTGGCCTACAAATTTGAAGATTTGCTTGCAGCTAATTTTTAAAAATAAGAAAGCATGAATTACCATAGGCCCCATATTGTTAGACCTTTTACAACTGGCCATTAGGCACAACTCAGAGAACTCAAGAAAACTCAGTTCCACAACAAAATGGAAGAAGCAGCCTTTAACCAGCTCTGGGTTAAACCCTGCAAGTAGAGAAGCCTTTATATTACGTCAAGCGATTTATCCATTTAGGTCAATATTGTCTAATCTGAATAGCAGTGGCTTTCTGGATCTTTCGCATCATCTACATTCTGACCCTCTTAAGTGAAGACACCAAAAATTGAACATAGGACTCCTTATATAGAAGACATGTGCTTTACCACAACACTTAACATATCTGACCTTTTTGTAGATGGCCGCTACAGCAGGAAACTATGATGTAAGAATAAATACAATCTGTCCTGGATTTGTCAACACACCAATTCTTCAATCAGTTGACAAGGAAGAAAACATGGGCCAATATTCAGTGTACAAAGAAGAAATCAAAGAAATGATGAAATTCTATGGTATACTGGAGTGAGTAAAGTACTCATAATACTACTTGTACATACTACTACTGCTAAATACCTGATGTCTTTAGTTGAATGCAAATAATGAAATATTCACCTATACCCCAAGCACTTAAACTGCATAATGGTGACCCTAGAGAAAGAGAATAAAGAGGAAGACCTCAGTGATTAGGATCAAACAGGCTACAGCTTTATTAAAGGATCCCAAACAACTTTCTAGCTATTGAAACCACTGCTTGCCTGACATTTGGTTTCTTTAAACCCTAAACACACTCTTTTTTTCTCACCATTCCATAAGCTCACAGTTTCTTGTCAGGTAGAAGCTTTTAGTCTTAAAAATGTATTTATATCTGTATCTGCTGGCAAGTATACATATATACATATATATTCCCAAGGATATATAGAAACCACTGTTTATTTTTGTATGACCCTGTTTTGCTTCAAAACTGACTGGCATTCTACCAGCTAAGTTCATTGTTTGAGAGAATGATGAACCTTTGATCTCCCTATGGCAATCAGGACACCAGACAAAATTTTATTGACAGCTATGATTTTTTTCAAATCCACACAAAATGGACCATGGGTTATCTCTCCTTAATCACAAACTTCCCCCAAACTACTCATTTTAGGCTTACATTTTCTTCCTAAAGAAAGCAGCATGTTGGTACAGTGTTGCCTATTCATGTCCCCACTCCTGTTTTAGACTTCTCTACTTCAAAGTACAAATCTTTATCTGTTGACTGGACTATTCCTGGTTCAGATGGATTTTCCATTCCTGTTTTGAAATGCTTACTTGAAAAGCAGTATCATTATAAAAGATTGAGAGGAGTAAAGGGACTGAATAGCATGGAGGAGGAACGTGCTAATGGCAAGATCTTCACAAACTTTGGGCAGATACCAAGGGAAAATTTCAGAAAGTGAAAATCTTCAGCATGTAACCTGTAAGCACTTCCAATGTCTTCTTCACAGTGCTTGCAGAAGTGTTGATGTATTTGTTTAATATTGTTACTTAGGGGAAAATGAGAAAGAACTACTTCTGATAAAACATATTTTTCAAAGAATCACTGGCTGCAGTTCACCTCCAGCAATTATTTGAATTAGATAGTACCCTATGAAAGGTTGCAATGTTCAGAAGAGAAAACAAACATTTTTGCTGAATAAGACGAAGCCTAACATCCTTAGGTGCAACAGGTAGATACCAAATAGGCAGTCTATCAGTTGGGGATTTTGTGGCATCTGCAACAATTTCTCAAATTCCCAAATGATCCCACAGTTCCAAAAGGTTGGTTGATATAAGTGCCAATCACTTACCCATGGTGAGTAGTTTCAGTTGCTTCAGATCCCCATAATATATAGAAGAGGACATACACAGTAACTGTTGGTCTGTGCTGATGACTGGCAAAGCACAAAAGAAAATTTATAGGCCTCATTCCAGGCTCTCATTCTTGCAAGGGATCCTTTAATAAAGCTGTAGTCTGCAAGATCCCAGAAAGAAAGTTTTCATTAAATGCATGCTTAAAACCTTTCAGTGTGCCTCTCTTCTCCATGCTCATTGCAGAGGTAGCTACAGCAAACAGAAAGCTTTCTGACAGAGCTTCTAGGTAGGAGAAAGTTAAAGAACCTTATGCTTATATTTCAAAGGTCAGCAGGTAAAGTACATAATTAGGAGGGCTGTTTCATTATGCTCTGCTTCTGTTTACAGTACAGTGGTACTTTGGCTCACGAACACTTCAGTTCAAGACCAAATCGGGTTGCAAACAGAAATTTCAGAAAAATTTTGACTCAGGTCGCAAACTCCACATCGGTTGATGATTGCAATCACACCGTCTTCCCTGCACAGGCGCGATCACAGTCGTGCTCCGGGGGATGGCCATGATCGTGGTCACATTTGTGCAGAGAAGTCGGGTGCGATCGTGGCCTTGCTCAAGGGGGAGAGATGGCCGCGATTGTGCCCATCTCCCTCCCGAGCGCGCTCATGATCGCACCATCTTCCCTGCACAAGCGCGCCCGTGATCGTGCCTGTCTTCCCTGTGATTAAAAAAAAATATTTACAGAATGGATTAACCCTACATACATTGAACCTTATGGGGAAATTTGACTTGGCTCATGACCAATTCGGGTAGCAACCAGAGTCGTGGAACAGATTAAGTTTGTGAGCCAAGGTACCACTGTACAAGGCATGCCACAAACTTCTGCCTCCATCTTACTGAATGTAGAAGAATCAACTAATTTGTATACTAGGTGTTGGAGATTCCTTGGCTAGATGGGAAGTATTTGGGAGTCTAAATGGGTCTTCAGTTGTCTATACTTACAGTACAGTCAGTATGCAACATATTGATTAATCACTTTCTTCATCCTTGCTGAATGCTGACAAATTGTTAAAACTACTAAGTAATTAACAGCATTGTCCCAGTTTACACAATCAAAGAAGCCACCATGGTTTAAAGTTGTGATGTTTGTTTAAATCAATGCTAACACTATTAGCACAATTACCCACCCAGGGGTGATTGCCATGGCTTCTGAACTCATTTAAGTTTCTGGAGAAACAACCCTCAACTGATCAGATGACCTAAATCTCAAACAACAGAACAACATAACAAGAGTTATTTAGGTTTTTGAATCAAGCATGCCCCCTGGGTTTGGATGACACAACAAGTCATGCGCAGGAGGATAATTAAATTCATGGTGCCTGGTACACGCTGGCATGCACCACCCATTTTAAAAAGCCACCATAGCTTGTTTTACTGGTGCAAACCAGGCATTTATGTATCTACTATTGTATTGCCAAGAATAGGCATGCAAATGAATTGGTTCCAAGTCTCCTTGATACCAGTGGGTCTCAAGTTTTTTTAGCTTTGTACAATTCTGCAGCCTTTTTATGCTTCTATGCCCACTTTAATTGTACATAGATTTAAAGGTAAGTTCTACACATATGTATTGAACCATATCTGATTGTTGTTTAAATTCATTTATAGCCCATCGCTAATTGCTGAAGGATTGATAAAAATCCTTGAAGATGATACATTAAATGGAGAAGTTATGAAGATTACAACAAACGAAGGGATTCATTTTCACAAATATGTTCCACCACCATTTCAGGCAAAGCACTTATAAATACACTTGCAGAACTGTTTTGAGGGAAAATATTATTCATTTCCCTGAAACTACACTGGTATGAATTGTTAAATAATAAGAAAATACTGGTTAATATTAATAGTTCACCTGAGTTTTAAATGTGTCTGTTAATATTCTTTATGTGAAGGACTAATTATATTGCAAATTATATATGATTTTATATTAGAAAATTAATATTATTTTTAATTATTTTTATACCAGATGGCATTTCAATTGCTGTAAAATTATTTGAATATTACCTAGTTTTATTTGCAGCAAAATACATCTGAACTAAGTTATAAATGTTTTATTAATTTTGTTGCAAAACACACTTGTAGATTTTAGGATAAGAGGAGTAGCACCATGTATTTCTGGAACTCGTGGGTTAATCTGAAATATTGACTTGGGTGGCACTGCATACTTCCAGGCCTTGGGCCACATTTTGCTTAATTAGAACATCGACTAAGAATGTGGTTAGACATTTATAATTATATTATATGCAACAATAATAGTATTAATGGAAAAAGGAATTTTAAAATATTGTTCTTAGCTATAGGATAAACATTGTATATAATTACAAAGGTATTGGAGTTAATTCTTTCAGTAGAATTTATACCAAGCATCCAGACCCAGTTTTATTCTGTTCCTTTTTCCTAAGTAAATATTACTGTTTGAATATGGCTGAGACTATTTAACTTAATTATTTCATTATCAGTTTAGAGGCTGTTCTTTTTGTATACTTTATGATATTCTTACAAGTCTAAACAGTAACAACAGACAAAATTAATGTCTTACTTGGTAAGTATGTAAGAAACACATTGAATTGGGAAATGTTAGACCATTGGTTACATTTTCCCTCTATAGAATAATCAAATCAATGATATTGTAGTATAGATAAAACTTGGGAACAATAATTTTAAATCTGAAATAGTTTAAAATATATTAGTAACATTTGTATTAGTTGAAAATATTATTAGTAAACATATAGAAGAACAAGCCCTGCTGGAAAAGTTACCATGGCTTCCATAACATGGCAGTAATCTAACTTCATTATAGCCTAGTCACTTCAGGAACTGTGGCCAGGTCATTCCCATTTAGTTGTTTCCTTGACTGAACTAACTGAACACTTTATTTCCTAGATTCTCTGGCAATTATCAGTCTCTGAAAATGCTCAGAACTCCAGGTTGTCACCAGGAAGTCGAGGAAATGAGTTCTAATAAATCTTGATTCAGTCCATTAAGTAGAAAAGCACTGTGGTAGTAATTTTCTTCTGAACAAGCAGAAACTCCAGGGGTGGTTAGGCCTTAAAGATAAGGCCTTCTGAGCTCCTGAATCCCTTCACACTAAGCCTCTTTTCAGGGTAAGTTTAGGGAAGGAGAGATAATGAGGAGAGTCCTCATTCTTGTTTTTTTCTGGGCAGTCAAAAGCTTGGAAAGATGCCAATGTATTTCTCACACTCATCTGTAAAAGTTTAAAAAAACCAAATTCGAAATTTGGAACATGACCTTTTCACTGCAATGCGTAATGGTAAATATGCACACTTTGTTGGGGGAAGTTAAAAGCAGAAGTGGCTTCATATATGTATAAATGGGGGTGGAATAAACCCATGCAAGAATGTGTTGAAAGATATGCTGAGGAAGCTGTTACAGGAAATGCATAAACCCTTCTTTTTAGGGGGGCCGTGGTATCTCTTAAGAATTGTAATTGACTGTAATATGTCTTTATCCGTGTGCATTTTTACACTAACATCATGTGGACTTTTTCTTAGAAGTCCCACTGAGTTCAATGGGACTTACTCCCAGAAAAGTATGTTGCAGCTTTAGTTTCTTGATGTTGGCAATTTAGCGTATTAAGGAGATTATTGATATATCTTAAATAAGATTTTTCTGTCATTTTCAACCCTGACCATTACTTAGGTAAGTAATGTATGTTTCCCTATCTCCACATATTTTATTTCACACTAGGAGCAGACCTAAATGAGGAAAACGGGCTATAGGTTCAACACGTTCTGACAAAGGAATGTGTGATACCAAGAGTTTATAGAGATGATTTTCACAGAAACTATGAACTGGGGATTGAGCAGTAGCATTAGATGTAACACCTGTGGCTGAAGAAAAGCTTGTGATTGTTTTATTTTATCTACAATTTTTATTTATTTATTAGACTTATATTCTGCTACATTGTCCCAAAGGCCCTATGAGTGGATTACAGTAAGATAACAATACACAATAAGGATGAAAACAATCAATTAAAACCCACAACAGTAAACAAAAGACAATAAAACAAAACAGTACACAGCTGAAGGGTAATAATTTAAACTGTATAGATTGAAACAACAATATCACAATATTATCAAGATAAATTCAATTATTAAATGGTTAAATCAGTGGATTAAAATTAAGAGCTAAAATAAGGCAATCTTCATTATAGTATACCCAACAACATTCAGTTCTTTTCACCTAATTTGGCAATGTAGCGACTGAAGTTTATTTCAGCTTAATATAGAATTTGCAAGCACTTGCCTTGGTTTGGTCAGATTAAGAACTAAAATTATGACACTTCAGATAAAGAAAAGGGCTTGAAATTTACAGAAGAAAATACTGTACAGAGTGAATAAAACAACTAATCAGCAGATTTTCTTAGAAACCATCACCACCATCATCAGTCTATTCTTTACAATAGTTATAATTTCCAGACCGATGCAGCTTTCACCACCAGAAAGCACACACATATCTGTGAACTTGAGGTCACTTGTAAAATGATGCATTTAGTGAGTTTGCTGCTTCAAAGACAGTCATAGCTCAGTAAATCCAATGCATACTGAAGTATCAGCTGTCGTTCCATCCAATTTATTGCTAATGGCAGTTTCCTGTCCTGTTTTTTCCCAGTTCAAATCTTATCAATGATACGGGATGAAAAACGTGCAAAAATAGGGCATTTTTCCTGTGCTTAATTTTTACATGGACAGTTTCTCTTTTCAGCAATTAATTATTAATGAGTCGTCAACATATCATGCATAATTATTTGGATTGCTAAAATTTAGTAACATGCCAACAGTATTCAGTAGCTCTGATTTTTTCCCCCTTAAATTTAAACAATATAGGGGAACTATATGCTATCATCTTTAAATTTTTACAAGCATCCCAATGAAAAGTCTGTATAGCATTGCAATCACATTAAGAATTCCTCCCGAAACCTTCCAAACTCAGAGGATTATTGGTAGAATAGAAAAGAATAGTAGTAGAATTGGAAGAGGCCTATAAAGCTATAAACCAAACCCCTGCTCCACTTCACCATGTGGTCATCCATCCAGCTGTACGTCTACCTCTTTTCAGCTAAGCAAAGGTGACTCAATGCCAGCAACCTGGGCAAGGTGGTAGGAGCCCCCAGGCAAATGCTATGTCCATGTTCTTCGTGCTTTGCAAAACACTTAGTCAACTTCAGGCTTCTAGGTGTGGTGCTTTGGAACTGGAGAGAAGGAGGCAGCACCTGTCTCCTTCCATCCCAAAGCCCCCCAAAATCCCTTCTCTGAAGTCACTTTTTCAGCTTCAGAAAAACAACTGGTGAGATTTTTTTTTTTCTGTATCAGTCGCAGGGTAAAGCGTATCCAGGCATAGATCCCCAAATATGAGGTCAGAGTAATTTCTTCACCTAGTGTACTTTAATTTTTCCTGTCAAATATTTCAGGTCAGTACTGGAAAATTGGGACAAAAAAATAACATGGAGTCATTTTTAAGCATGCTTGTTTACGAAATACAGGTAGAATACGTGTGCTAAATTAGATCACTTTCTAGAATATTGAAAACAATCTGAAGCAAAATTTATTAGAGAAATATATCTACCTTGCATAGGAAAATTAATTTCAAAATGTCTGGAAAATCTGCAATACTGTGCCTTTCCCAGCTGGGTCTAATGTGAACTGTCTTCACATTATTGCTCACTAGACATGTTACTTCAAACAATTTCTGCATCTGACATTTTTGCACAAAGTGATATCATAAATCACTTACATTCATACAAAATAAATCTCCTATTTGTCCATCAGTTTCTCTGAGAAAAGTAGTTAAATGAAAGAAAGTGTTGTCCTGTTAGCATCCAGAATTTTCAAGGCATTTATTTTCTGTTTCACAGTGAAATGTACTGGCTGTTCCACATTCAGTGTGTGCCTGCCTACCTATGAGGGCCGCAAAACATTTGTGTCATTAGCATTAGTATTTTCTCAACTGTGATGATTTGTCTGACTGTATCAATTACAAATATGAGATAGCATGATGCAGTCCCTGCATAGGCACATCTGGTAGCTAATTACATAAGAATGATGGTTTCTGTTGGCAAGACTTTTTTAAAAGTAAAACAAATCATACTGTTGCCAATATTCAGATAAACTATTTGCTTGAAAAAAAAAAAGACACAAGTGACCCTAAGTACAAAATTTATGCAAAATATCTAGTGAAATTCTTCATTAAAACAATGAAATATGTGCACAAAAGTTGACAAAAAGTCAAATTAGTTGACACCAATTCAAGTCAAGGTTTCCTTTCCTTTCCTTCCTTTATAAATCAAATAACACAGCAGTTTTAAAAAAAGATGTTCACTGCATGAAAATGGGTGTTTACTGGCGAATAGCTCTAGCACTTTAAGTGAAATAACCATTCCTGAACAGTATTTCCAAAACATCTGTTGGAAGATTTTAGTTTAGTGACTACAACAAATCCTTCTAGGAGAAGGCAAGGATATAATGTTTTGCCTCCCTACCAAACTATTCTTTTTTTTAACCATTGGTTATGCTTTAGCACATCCTAATAACAAATTCCACATTGACCAGATTAGCATGATTACTCCCCCACTGCTGTAGTTTCTCATTACATGGAGATCTGTCAAGGGTAGTTTATTGGGTTGCCTGACAAGCTACCCTTGGCTTGTTTTCAGGTTTGCGTAGATTGCAGACCACCCCTTGCAGGGTTTCCATATAACAAGAAGGTCCGGCACTCTTCCGCCATGCCCTGAACATTCAGAATTTTCCCCACCCCCACAGCTAGAGGCAGTGCGGTGAAATCGACCCTGGAAGACTTCTTACATACTAACTTGGTCATTATATTAATTACCTAGCATATAGCTGATCCTTCCCTTGTTTTTATTCTAGTGTTAATTGTGCACAGCATTGATTTTGATCAGAAGCACAGTGTACTGACAGAGGAAGTTTAACCTTTCCTCCACCAGTTGCCTCCCATCAGCAGGTTAAAAAACAAGGGGAAAAAGATTGTGTGTGTGTGTGTGTGTGTGTGTGTAAGCAAGGATTAGGAAGTTAAGGCAGGGAGGACTCCCTCCTGATGGGCTCTTGTTTCAGCCCAAATCAATGACATGCACATTTACATAAGAGTGAAAAACAGAGAGGAGTCCAACATACACTTGTTTATGGTGAACCTGGAGTTGCTGTGTTGTTTCAACACCTAGAATGCATGCAGTGTGCTGACTACAAGTTGCAATCTAGCTGTGCTTCCCTAAAGACACACATAAGGTATCCCATTAGGATCCCTGGCCAGTCATTTCCAAGGGACCAAGAGAGCTTGGGAACTGAGGAGACTGGGTTTGTTTTATTCTTAGGACTGGTAGCTAGTAGCAGTGGGCACTGCTGCACCAACCTCGCACCCTCAGATGGAGTTTCCTGTGGGCTCCATTT